TATTTATCAAAATTATTAATTTCCTTTGACCTAGCAATTCCACTTCTGGAAATTTACCTTACAGATATGCTTTCACAAGAGTAAAATGACATATGTTCATGAATAGTCATAGTAGCACTGTTTGTAATATGAAAAGAATAGGAAAAAATCCAAATGTCCATCAAAAGAGACCGATGTAATAAACTGTGGAACAATCACCTGGTGGAAGAGTGTGCAGCCATTGAAAGACTCATGAATGTTATGTGTTGAAACAGAAAGACCTCCAAGATATATATATATGTGAAATAAAAAGTATATAAACTTTCATTTAAAAGTTGGGAAAATAAGAAAATGAGAGTATATGTTTGTAATTACTTGTATATGCAAAAAGTAACTCTGTTAAAGATACAAAATTTAAAAGTAAATGTAAATATACAAAATTTAAAAGTAGTCACTTTAACTTTGGGGGTAGCAGTTGGATAGATCAAAAGACAGGATTGAAAAGATTTTTTTATTGTATAAATTTTGATGTTTTAAAGTTTTGGAATCATGTAACTGTGTTACCCATTCAAATATTTGAATTAAAAAAAGATGTTCCCTACATTTCTCTACTTGGAGCTTCCACTCCCTGCCAGCTTTAGGCTCTGAGGCCACCAGGGGCAGACCCTTTTCCATGTGGCAGGATGTCAGCCACCTATAGACAGGGCTCCTGAGGTGATGCACACCTGCTTCTCACCACTGTTGTTTACAACAAATGGTTCCCACCATCTCACTGCCCTTCCCAGTGGTAGTCATGAGTGCTCTTAGCCAGATGTTTCTGCTTTTTGCTTCTGGACATGCCCTGCCTCCTGGTAGTTGGACAAAGCTGAGATTAGCCCTGGCCAATGAATTATGAGAACCAACTCTCATCACTTCTGGACTGGAGCATTTAGTTACCAGCGTTAAAACCTCCAGAGCTCTTTTTTTTTTTTTTTCTTTGCCACGGGTACTGGCAATATTCCAGACAGTGGCTGCTGTGAGCTCGTGTCCTGGAATGAGGATAATAAAGAGAAGAGCCCCAGGTCAAACTGCCATAGGGAGCACAAGGAAGATATAAACCTTTGTTGTTTGAAACTTCTGGGATTTGGGAGCTGTCTATCTTCTGCAGCATGGCCTGGTCTCTTCTGCCTGACATAGGCACCGATAGTAAAGAGGCACTAGCAGCACCAAGTGGGGGTGAGACTGTTACTGCCCTGAGCCCGGATCAGTGGGGCAGGAGTGAGCGCTCAGTGGGCGCTCTACTCACACCACTGTCACAATGATGTCCTGGATCTGCTGCTGCAGCTCTGGTTCCTTCCGGTATGCCTCCACCAGCAGCAAGGCCTGGTCGTAGCTGGTACAGTAGACCTTATAGACTCGCTCAAACTCCTCTTGGAATTCCAGGAATAGGTTACCTGATGGGGAACAAGCAACAAAGAGTTGTCAAGGGCACACCTGCATGTCCCCTTACTTGGAACAGGGAGGCAGTGGGGGAGCCTCTCCAGCTCAGCAGTGAGACTGCCAGGCTTAACCAGTGAGTCACTGTGGGCAAGTTACCTCATCCTCTCAAGTCTCCGTTTTTTCATCTCAGTTTCCTAAGGCTGCTGTGGATTAAGTGACAGTATGATGTAGAGCTCAGGCAGGTACATGTGGGTACTTAATCAATGGTAGCTCTGGTCACGGCAATAATATTAATAAGGCTCACAGTTGGATAATGCTTTACAGTTTACAAAACACACTTGTAACCATCAGCTCCTTTTGTCTGTGTGTGGCAAGTACAACTACAAAGCCCCAGTTTACAAAGACATACTGGGGCACATTACAGGGGGTTGTGAGCGTGGGCTCTGGTGTTAGGCAGCCAGGGTCAGATCTCCAGGCAACCCTTTTCCAATCGTGTAACTTGAGCCATGTGTTTGACCCTCTGACCCTCCATTTCCCATCTATAGAATGGGAATAAAAATAGTACTCACCTCCAAGTGTTTTTGTGAGGATTAAATAAAATAATGCATGTAAAGTACCTGACACAAACTTCATTCACCAAATAGTTATCAACTGCTGTTTATTGACTAAGTGACAGGCGCTCTGCTAAGCTCTGTGAATGAAACAAAGGCCCTGCCTCTAGTGGGAAAGACAGAAAATAAATAAATGCCTTACATGTGTCGGGTTGTGATAAGTGCCACAAATTAAAATAAAGCCAAAGAAAGAGTTAGAGGGTGGTGGGGGATCTGTTTGAGGAAGGCCTCTGTGAAGATGTGAATGTTTATCAGAGACTAGAGGGAACCAGGCCTGGGAACGTCTGGGGAAGAGGAGTAGTCTAGGCTTATAGTAGGGCAGATGGAAAGGTCCTGAGGCAGGAGAGGGCTTGGCATGAGGGCAACAGCAAGATGGCAAGTGTGGCTGGAGCATAGCAGGCCAGGGTGTAAAGTAGAGGAAATAACAGGAAACTGAAGCCAGATCATGAAGGGCTTTGAGTAGGGGTGATGTGATCTGATTTCTGTTTAATAGGTTCACTCTGGTGCTCAGCGTCAGCAGCACATACATTGAAGTTGGAACAACATAGAGAAGATTAGCATGGCCCCTGCACAAGACTGATATGCAAATTTGTGAAGTGCTGTGTATTTTTAAATCAGAAACGAATGAGGTTGGTTACTTATGGGGGGTGGGTGGAACAGGGCGGGAAGAATGAGGGCACAGGATGGCATGGTAGGGGTGAGGGGAGCAGTGATTCACTGAAAACAGCTCTCTTATGGCGCCAGCTCCCAGAACCATGGTAATGTTTCACATGTTCCCAAAATAAATACATAACTAAGACCAACCAGGATGTGGAGGGCAACCCCAAATGGAATACAAACAGTAAAGAATGAACCTGACTCTACTGCAAATGAATAGAATAACCACACTGAAAAGTGCGGGGAAGAAACTGACATGAACTGTTTTTCACAGGGGTA